ACACATTCATGTTTCCAGGAACATTAAATACTTTTGCTTTTACATTAGTTTTGTAACCAGTTCTAAAGAATTAAAAAAAAATGAAATGTTTGATCATAGCAGTCCACCAATCATAGACAAATATCTACAGCAGGTTTTTGTGGATGGTTTTTGTCTTAGTTTTTATATCTTGTTTGGTATGACTTGACACCATAGAAATAATCAAGGGAAAAGATGTACAAGAATCATTCTTTTTTTTTTTTTAAATACATTTATTTATATATTAAACAAAATGAAACATTATCAAAATGCCACAGGACACGCACAATTTTGGTATCGTACTGAAACATGCATATGTGAACCTTGCGTTGGAGTTGCTTTTGTATGCACCACGATTGTTTGTTGTTAAGGACTGATCCGCATGTATGCCTGGCAAGAAGGGACAGCTTTCCTTTCTGCTTCCTCCTCTTCATTCTGCACAGTGGATCTCCCCACATTGAATCTAGGGTTGCTACTCAGCTGGCTTAGCTTGCAACATCTGGCATCCAGCACTCTTCAACCGTGGTCCTTAATTTAGACTTGATCACTCAAAGACAGTGCAGCATCTCAGCATGCAGCATGACTTGCTTTGCAATTTCATCATGTGAAATACTGACAGAATCATCATCTCACTTTCTTGCACCTTGTAGCAGTAACTCCTGTTGCTGCAGGCCTGGGTTGTGATGGCTGTTTGGTACACCCAAGTGCAGTTGCATGTTAAAGGCATGTATCAATGCAGAAAGTGTGCTTTGTTGTATTGTCTCCTTGGTACGTTACTGAGGCTGTCTCCTATTTGCACACTGGATCAGTGCACGGAGGTCAAATGAAAAGGGAACATTCAACTTATTTGTCAGTAATCAGAGTGAATGTGCACTGTGTGTGTGTGTGTGTGTGTGTGTGTGTGTGTGTGTGTGTGTGTGTGTGTGTGTGTGTGTGTGTGTGTGTGTGTGTGTGTGTGTGTGTGTGTGTGTGTGTGTGTGTGTGTGTGTGCGCGCGCACGCGCGCATACGGAGCCTAGACTAGAGTACACCCATTTCACCTGTAACACGTCTTACAAGTTATTCATGTGTCTAATTATGGCTTTACTTCACTATCACCTGAGTGACAAGAGGGGATTGGGAGGCCTCTGGAAATTTGGGATTTAGATTCAGTTAAACATATTCACACCTCTTGAGATTGATTTTGGAAATCTCAGGGGAAGACAGCTGTCCTCATGAAACGTCTGTCACTTCCACTCCTGCGACAGCATGTTTTCTGTGGTTATTTTTTTTTGGTGATAGCGCATTTATTTCTCACTGGACAACTAGAGGGGAGGAAGGAAAGGCTGGTTTGCCCAGCCGTCCCACTATTGGAGCACCTCCAAAATGGTCCTGTTTGACTCTGGAGCCAATGATGGATGGAGGCTCATGGGAAAGGCGATGTTGCTTCTGTCACTTGGTGCAGATCCCACAGTCTGACTTGCAACTTTTGCTACTAACTCTGAAAAGTGAGTCTTCGCCACTGTGTAGGCAAACTCAACTACAATCGGCTGGAAGCAACCAGAACTACCACAACTCATGACTTGAATGAGAAAAACACCTGGATCATTGTACAAGGCAGCCAATTCCAGTTTTATCTGGGTGTGTTTTTTTTTTTTCACCCTAAGATATGTTATGGCACATTGAGGAAACTCCAACCAGGAGCTACATTTCATTACCTGTCTCGCTATCTCAGAAACATGGGGATTATAGCACTGCAGCCTTTGCAAAGTTAATGCGTTTCCATACAGCCTATTTGACTCCCATGCACAGTCTTTTTTCAATTGTAAATGAGGGGGAGAAGCACATACGAAAAGCTGTTTGACTTGCAGTACCAGCCACAACATCTTAGTTCCAAGCTTTTAAATTCTGTGTCCATATTCCTGATTCATCTTCCCTATTTTCTCTCCTATTATTTTTATATTCATATACATATCTCCAGCTACCTTTGGGAGAATGTCACGTGCAGAAGAAAAGTGATGTGAGATTCCAGAAGGCAGTACAGAAATAAAGCAGAAGCATTACCAAGTGCAAGCAAAGTTTGACCACAAGAACCAAGAAAAAGAGCTCAACTGTAAAGAGATTACATAAATCAATCAGTGGGATTCCTCCTCGGCCATTGTAGCAATGGTGCAGTACAGAAATTAGACCAGAGCATAAATAATATTAGCCCCTCACTGTACAGCATACCTGCTCTTTCTTCAATACTCCATCCTGCATAAATTGTTTGCAAACTTAGACTATGGAGTAGCGAGCTTCTTCCTTTGTTGTTGGTTTCTGCAGGGGGGCACAGTGATCAGCAAGCATAAGGGAGTTTGGAGAATTAGTCCTCAAGTTACTATACTTTGGGACCAGGAATGGATTGAGTCAGAGAACTCCAGTCAACAGCTTTCCCCTTCTTCTAGTGTGTATAATATATGGCAATGACTTCTCAAGAATAGTTTAAAGATAGGTTTTTGTATTGGTTCCCACCTCACTGCAGAATTACAGTATTGGCATTTTGCAAGCAATGAGTATGGGGTTCTAGATAGACCTGTTAATGTCCTGCACTGGGATAGAGCAGATGGTATGGAAGTATCTGAGCATTATATTAGCTGCTTGAAGCTCCAATTTGAAACAGCAAATTTTATAAACAGCTTTTATTGGGCGCGTCTCTCAAAACGAAGGGCTGATGGTTCCGAAAAATAAGGGCATGCTATTGCATCCGCTCATCTGTCAATGGCCGTTCAACCAATCTGTGATGGCTGATGGGATTTCATGATGTTGTGCTTTACAAATGTCTTATCAAAATTGCATTTAAAGTTTAATATCTGAATGTAAAAGTATATAAAGTTCACAACCTGTTTATCCACTTGGCATTCAAATAAAACATTCACACATCAACATTTTAAAGTGTGCAAAAATAGATGAAAAATACATTTCATGTTTCTGCTATAGAAAGTTCTCTACCATTTAAGTCAATGCAAATTTTAATAGGAGTTGGCCAGAGTGTACATTGCTGTTTAGTGTGTTTAAGGTTATTCTGTACATTCATATGTCTTTATTGTAGGCAAAAGCAACACATACATATAGCTTTACCCAATTATAAAACTATATAAAAGATAAGTAGAGCTTTGTTTCTGATGATCATAACAAAGATATCAATATTTTTGGTTCCTCAAACCTCCAGGCAGACCAAACAGAGTCTGTTGCTATTAGGAGTTGAATACACGTGTCATCAGTAAACAATCCCAGGGAAATGACTAGCAAACCCATTCCCAAATTTAAGGTGGCTTGGCTGATGAGAAATTTGTATTTAAAGGGCAGATGGGGATGGAGAAGCCTTCCAATAAGGGGTCGTAACCTCTTAACTAAGCCAACAAGTCAAAGAAAAGTATGACCAGAGAAGCAGCATCTTTACAGAACAGATTCTGGGGTGCATCTATAACGCAGTACCCTCAGTATTATAGTGAAACCCAAGGGTAATAGTTGGGATGATTAAGCCTTGCATCTTCTAAATACTTTACAAACACAGCCCCTATGATGGAGCTAGCGAGGATGAAGGAGAGACGAATGAGGCTGAGTAGACAGCAATTACCTTAAGCCATCTTTGCATCTATCTTCTCAACAGTTTCTCCAGCACTCAGGCCTCATCTCAAGCCTGGTAGTACTGAGTGACTCAACACCTCTGTCGTGGAAGGATTTGAGCTGGATATTCCCCTAGCTCCCTCCTCTGCAGGACCTGAGCTAATAGATGTTGTTGAAATACGTCTAGCAGATCCAGCGTCCCACATAAGGAGCAGGTGAGCTCCACTTGTACCTCGGCACGCAGTGACTTGAAAACTTACCTGGGAAATGGGAGACCAGGGCTTGAATCCACCTCTCCCAAGAAAGTGCACTGATCTCTGGACCCTAGAGGACTCTGAGCTGCTGGGGTCTTACTCCTGGGGAAACTGTTCTGCTTAGTAAAAAATTATTCACTGCGACACACAGAGAAAGACCTTAACTCCACCGCCCTATCGGTAGGGCACTCCCTCAGGCTGTGGAAAAGTCAAACCCCTGCTCCAGGGGTGAAATATCATCCACAGAAGAGAATAAGACTGCTCTGCCCTCCACATATCTTATTGTTAAGGGTTTAGGGCATTTCCTAGGGATTCAAATCCTTGGTTCAGCTAAGGCAGAGACTGGACTTCAACTCAAGTCTCCCATGTACCAGGGCACTTCTGGCTCTAAGAGCCTCCAGCCTGGATTTGGAACAACATTCAATGACTTAAGCTCCAGCCACCTCTGAGCATGATCCGTGGAGTAGCTTTGGCAGTGCTGGCGCCGCTCAGCACACTGGCTATTATGGATCTCATTCACTTGGCAACTAGCAACTCTTCCCACCACTGTTCAGAGAGCCAAAGCACCTAACTCAACCTAGATGCCACTAGGCCTGGGGCAATGGGTGGCCACAATGCACAGCCGTGAAGGCAAAACCAATGGAGCCCTGTGCAGGGGAAGGGGGAGATGATTGCTAGAACCAGGGGGTCCTGCATGTGAGCCTCTCTTGCCTCGACCTGAGAAGCAAGAGCCTAGGGAAGGGCAGGATGTGGTGATACCAGGGTAGAAATCAAAACGGACCTACTCAAGCACCAGTGCCACTTGACAGCATGCCATGTTGAAGACATGAATCAGAAGAGTACAAAAAACAAGTCTGCTTCAGGCCTATGAGGTGAGTGGGAGCTGCTTATCCTGAAACCACGTGGGCAACTTGCATGGGCAAAAAAGGCCCAATGCGCCCAGTCAACCCACTTGTGTTAAGCATTTGCAAAACTGGGACGTCCCTATGAACCCGGGCCCGACCGCAGACCTGCAGATGTTGCATCCAAGAGTTCTGCAAAGGTTACTCCAAGCTGAAGAGCGCCGTTCACAATCCCCATGCCCTGGGTGGCCTCCTAGTCCCTGCTCCAGTAGGCAGCCAGCCCCGCCATCTCCTTTTTTTTTACCTTTAAATCAGTTTTTTCAGAATTGATGTGCAGGACCACCCTAGATTCAGCCCTGTATCAATGACAAAAGCATGCAACACAGCCAAGCTATCCCTATTCTCTGTCCCTGCCCATCTGGTGATATGGGACTCATCAATTAGCTTACCCTTCATGCTAATCCTGGATCCTTGTTTGCATTTCAATCTCCATGATAGAAGGGATCTTCAACCCTCTGAGAGGAATGGCTAAGATAGGGCAGTTGCCAGCTGATAGTATCTAGCATGCAAGCCAGAGGAGGTACCAAATACTTTCACCATAGGCCAAAGTCTGTGTGTGGATATTATCCGGGGGGGGCCCAACAACAATAGGAAGCTGAGCCAATGTTTCTGCAGCGATATGGACACACATAATCGCCAAGTGCGCATGGAAGATGCCATGACTTTTGGTCCCCCTTTAGTTGGTTTATGACATGTTAAAGGAAATGCTGGAGTCAGCACATCCTTTGGACAGGACGTGACACACATAAGCACAGGATGCTGCAGTTTCAAGAGATGGGCAAGGTGCTGAGTCCAGCTCCTAAGGACAAACCGCACGCTCCCATCACCCCTCCAAGATCAAGGCGTTCTGCGCCCCACCCTGAGCAGCTCTCCATCACTGGCCACAAATAACTTGGTCTCTATTTCTCCCTGGATCGCTCTTCTGTCGGACTCCCTTCCCCATGCTAGCAAATGGCAGTAGGCCTACAAATGCTGAAGCACACTAAGAACATCAATGTGAGACAATAAGGTAGGGTGGCCCATCAGGCAGGGGATCCCACCAGAAACAGAAAGAAGATTACAGGATCATTTTTTCTCTCTTGCATTGGCACTTCCCCGGTTGACTGGGGGTTGGGGGGTAGAGCAATTTGCATGGTATCAGGGACATTTTCCAGCATGATCCTTCTTGTAAACCAGGCTTGACTCATATGATCTCAGTTTGGGCTGCTTCTGCCAGTGTCACCAAAGACCGTCTCACTAGTTGCAGTGCATATAAAAAGTTAGAAACAAAAAGACGGATGCGACTGCCAGCCTTTTCCTTGGCCGCCTGAACTTTAACACCCATGTTCTAGGAGCTTCCTTTCCAAGGCATTTCTAAGCAGCTTGAATCCAGGTTGGGAATGACATTTCCATAGTGCAATGTGAACGGAGGAGTAAACTGCCAGGAACCGCTGACAGTTGATCTTTGCTTCTCGATTCCTGTACAGACTTCCACCTGGCGTGCATGTTCCCGCAAAGACCCTTCCCCCTGGGTTTGGTTTACAGTCAGTTCTCTTACAATCCCATGCATTAGCAATATGAGGAGGAGAAGACACGTGTTCAGTGCAAAGGTCATTCAGAGCTGCGTTTCATCTCTGGTTTCAGGATTGCAGGAATCCAGCTTGTTACTGCAGCTGCTTTTCCGACTGTGCGTGTCATTGGATACATGCGCTAGAGGGTCAGAGCGTATTAAATACCTAGCAGAAATAAAAGAAGCAGCTAATTATTGTTCCATTCCAACACGAGACTCCTTGGACACAAGTCATCATTACCTGAAAGCACGCATGGTTTCTTGGGGGAAGACGCAGGAGTATTCTCCGCTAACAGCAGTGTAGCTACTCCAGAGTCACATCAGTGCAAAGGGGAAGATTTGGCCTGAAATTTGCTTTGGGGTAGGACATCTACCTAACTAGTTTCCAGATTCCTGTTATGTGCTATATACATCTGGCACAATAGCCAGACAAAAAGGCATGCTCCTGTGAATAAATGGATCTATTCGTCATTAAAATGCTGCTACAAGATGTACATTTTGTCTTGGGCTCTTGCTCATAAAGTTGCCACAATTTTTCAACTAATTTTCACTTATTTTCTTGAAACTGTAGAGCCTAAAAAAACCCAACACAGCTCGTTCACCTGCAGAAGGATTATGAATACATCAAATTTGAGGAAGAGAGTGAACCTGGACTCTACATCTCACAGGGTGGGAAAGCTACAAAACCAGAAGAAAGCCATACTAATTCTATCCAGGAAGAGCACATGCCAACTGCAGATGCTTCCTCAGCCTGACGAAGGGTATTTATACCCAAAAGCTGGCAAAGAAGAATTTTTCTGATGATCTGACTCAGTTTAATAAACGATATCAGATTTACCCACAAAACCTTGTCTGCCGATGTCCTTAGACCAACACGGCTACAACCTGTACCCCTATACTAATAACAAACACTTTCTTAGCCATGGGGCACCCTCAACTCTTTCAAGCAAAGTCTTTGAAGTGAAATAGGGAAAGGTTCTTGGAGAAAGGCATGAACCATCTCAAGCCTTAAAAAACAGACTACACTTAGCAACGTTCACAGACCACCCAGCATTGCAGCGCACGTGGTTGGCACTCGTTTCATACGTACACGATATCATTGAGTTCCAGGCGCGTGTCCGGAGGTGGATTGATTAGGACATAGGACAGCGTGTTCTGGTGGTCATTCATTTCATCTGCAAGGGGGAAAGAAACAGACTTGTTATGCAGACGACTGGCCTGTCGGGAGGTAACTCTCGACTGGATTCGGCAGTGAACGTTCAACAAATCACTTCCGCGCTCCTAAACCTGGGGAACCACAGGGGCTGGTGGACTTCCCAAGGGGTTGCGATTACAGAAGCAGATGTGCTAAATAATGAGCGTTCAGTGGTGTTCCTGGACCAGACATCCAGTGAGTGCACAAGGTTTGTGCCCTAAGCCCTTGGACAAAGACTGCTGCAATAGAGATTGGTGGCTCGTAGCTCTTTGGGCCTGGTTTTCCTTCCCATCCTGCCCATCTCCAAACACCAGCAGGTATTTAAATCAAGGGGAAATGGGCAAGACGTGTTTACCTGAGTTGTTTTTGTGGCTGGGCATGTCTCCCAGAACAACAAGCCATAGCTAGCTCACTCACACGATGCAGTGCCACAAGCAGGTGGTGGAAAGGAGTGGGGTGAGGAGCATGATGCCATTCAGAGTCCCCACTATGTCCCCGGAGAGAGGGTGTGGGGTGTTGTAGGAGCTGGGTGCTCCCTTCCCCTCCACAGACTAGCAGGGCTGGCTTGCACGTGGGAGCCCTGCCATGACCAAATATCCTGAGTTTATCTTTCTGGTCCAAAGAGAGTCAAGCCTGAAGGATAGGAGCTCTGTCCCTCAAGACAGGGGATGTCCTACCATTTGTGAGCACCCAGCTTGATAAAAGGAGAGGCTGGGGTGAAAAATTGGGCTCCCCTTCTCACTTGGGCTGGGTCCTTAATAATGGGCAAGCTCTTCTAACTAAAGTGGGGCCCTGCCGGCTGCAGGGACTGCAAGAAGGCAAGGCTGAAAATGCAGCAGGCACTTCCCTGCCTCCTTGACACACCCCACCTACTTCTTCCTTTCCCCCAGGCCTCTATGCTCACACTCCTGAGCCGGCTTTCCCTTCTGCACAGCCCTGTCGGAGCCCCTGGTGCCAGTCTCAAACCCCCTGTCTGCCCCCAAGAGCAACGTGAGCATCTTCAGTGTCTAATGGCAAACTGCTGGAGCCAGGCCCTTGCCTCACCCATTCTGCATATACATCCAGCCCTCTTCCCTAGCACCATGCTAGCCAGGCTGCTTGAGCGCATGCAAGTGTCTGAAGGCACTTGGAGGGGATTTCAGTCCTGGACTATTCTTAGCATTGGTCCCAGAACAGGTGGCATCTCCAAAATAAGGAAAAAGCTGCGCTTACCTTGTTTTAATGCATTAAAAAAGATAGAAAGATGTTAGTCTTATTGTACTGGGCATTCCCCACAGATTTCAATGTCTGTCCGGGGCAGCCAGAAAGCCCTGAGGCTGCTCTGATTTTTGCCATAGGCTCAGATTGCCCCTTGTTGGTCTGCTTCACCCATTCCCTGTCCTCCCAGGAGCAGAATGTATTTAATGATTATTTCTTTGGTCTGCCCAAAGGAAACGCGGTGTGCTTTCAGAGCAAAAGGGAGTGCAATCAAGGGAGGCAGTTAATGTCAAGGGAATTGAAGGGCAAAGCTCCAAGTTTGGAAGAACAGGAAAATCCAACAGAAAATATTCATGGCCATCAATATATGAGCCTGACAGATTACCTTGGAGAGCCATATTCTCTGGAACAAGCCATATCAATTGTGGTAACAAGCTCACTGCATGAATACACTTATTTGCGCAGCCTTTCTTTACATCGCATGGGTGTTGTGCAGACCAACCATCTTTGATCTAAATGAGGGGGCTATGCCTTCTGCTTTTCAAACAGCTGGGTAAAAAGGTGATGAGTGAAACGAAGGCAAGTGCACCGGTTCGGCGATCAAGACAATTATGTGGATAAACACATGGCGCCGTACGTGTAAATGGGGTTGGTCGCGGTTGCACAAATAACAGTGTTTATACATTCACTGACAAGGTGCAGTATGTACAGGATGGCTCATGAGATGGAAGGTTAGTAGAGAGGCTACGTCAAGGGCAGAGAAGCAAATAGGACAGTTACATGAACTCGCTGCAAGGCTTTCCACTGGGACCTCGTCTCCCACATTAATCAGAAATATTGCCTCTCTAGAGCAAAACAGTCGGCCGTGTCTATTAGACCTTTGGATTTTTTGACATTTCAATCAAGACCTTATCTTGCAGAGGATGTTTAATGGTACCAGAGTCTTGTCTTGCAGTGGCTGAACCTTCCTGGACAGGTTTGTTTTTGCTGTTTACCTTGCCTACCTGCCCTTCAACCTTGGTTATGTCTCCCTTGGTTTTGATTACTACGACACAGATCGTTCTCTTCAAGTGCAGTGTCTAGCGGATGCTGGGAGATGCTTCAGTACCCAGTTTTGCATGCCAAAGGCCCAGATGCTTGTACAAATGGGTCAAGCAGAAGTCTGAAGTTGGCCTGGCTGAGCAGCCTGGCCAGATGCATGTGCAAAAATGCATGACCGCTGCTGACAGCTGACATTTGAATTCAAGGGCAGAGGCACTGCTTTGAGGTTAAATCTGAGGAATTTACTTGCCAATAAATACATTCAATGCACAGACAGCATGGAAGCACTGAT